GTATTGATTGTATAGAGCCAATATTTGCTTGTAGATGGCATAAGCATTATTACATCTCTTTATATTCACCAAACTTGCGATTCTATTGTTTGAGTCACATTAGCATTACAAATCTTTTAACCCCCTTAGGAGTAGATCACAGCTTGCATGCTAACTTGCACTGACCATGGAAGGGCCACTATATTACAGGTTCCTTGATTTATACTTGTAGGTGAATCACATCTGTTGGATATTCCTTCCAAATGTGTAGATGACACGCATATGTTTCATAGGATGGCTGGCATTAATAGTATGATTGTTGTCCCTTCCATGAACCTCTTTGATCATTTATAGATATGATACATTTCTTCATTCAATCTCTAGCATTTATATTGATATGATGGAGTATTTGCTAAGTTAAAGCCCTCATTCCATAATTGAGCTCAAATTCTCTTGCATTAAGCTTCATGTGGTGCCCAAGTTTTGGCTCATGCTCCTTGATTATAATTAATTAATAATTAATTATAATTAATAATTATAACTAATTAATAATAAATTATAATTAATAATTGATTAATAATAATTAATTAGTCATAATTAGTAATTAATTATAAACATAAGAAAAAAAATTAATTATAATTAATAATACTTAATTAAAATTAATCATTAAGTATAATAAATAATAATAAATATAATATAAATCCCTCTCATCCTCCCTCTCTGGATCGGCTGAAGAAGCGCGCGAATGGGAGATGTTACCTTCACGGCCAGCGAGCTCCAGCCGTGCTTCTTCCGATCAAAATGTTGTAACCTCCGATTTAAACAGGAAGGAGCGACGTCGGAAGGAGGCAGTGGAGCTGAAGGATGCGGCTAGGGCTTGAGGAGTTCGGGTTTTAACGGAGGGAGGAAGAGGTTCGGTCGGAGCTATAGGCGTGGGAGTCTTCGGCTAGGTATGTCTTTCTTCCTCTCACTCTCTCTTTACCTCTCTCTCTCTCTCTCTCTCTCTCTCTCTCTCTCTCTCTCTCTCTCTACCGACGGGAGGTCGGCACAGGCAGATGGAGGAGTTCGGCGGGATGAGGTAGATCGGGAAGCTGGAGTCGAGAGCAGAGGGGTTCGGTCGTTGAGAGTGGAATTCGCAAGCAGAGAAGCAGAGCCTTCGGCTCCTATTTAACGACGCAAAATGAGTACTCTTCGACGGAATCCCTGCAGGAATCGCGGAGACAGACGTGAACGATGCCGCATCTACAGTATTTTAGCGAGATTTGAGCAGGATTTCGAGATTTCAGTCGGGATTTCAGGCAGATATCGTGGATCCCATGGATTACAGCCGGCATGCATTCGTTTCATTCAATTTTGGATATTATATGGAGGTTAACATTTAAAAATAGTGTATAAAATTTGAATGAGTATACTATTAAAAATAATTTAGAAATAATAAATCATTTAATTAGAATTTGTGCTTAAAATGATTAATATTAGGATGTCAAGAGTCGGAATTCAATGTCATGTAAGAAGCATCAAAAGAGGAGACGACAATTTTGTCGAGAGTCTGGCATCGATGTTATGTAGTAAGTATCGGACGTCGATGTCAAGAGGGCGTCTGTCGTCAATGTTGAGAGTGCATTGATCGTCAACGTTAAGACTATGTAGGACAAAGATGAGCTGTTAAGTTGTGGGTGTAGAAATTGCTGGAGTCAAGCATTAATGTTAAGACAATGTTAGACTTTGATCTTGAGATAATTTTGAAATGTCGATGTTGTAATGACGTCAGACGTTAATGTTGAGATGTCATCGAACATTATTCTGAAACCAAAGTCATGATCCGCCAAAGAGAAATGATAATGAGAATATTCGATGAATGAGTTATTGAATGCGGGCGATTGATTTGGTGTTCTGGATAGGAAATAAGAAATTTAGTTTTTATATTTTAAATAAATAATATTTAAATGCAATAAATTATATTTTAAAAAAATTCATAAAATATTTAAGACACGCATGTTGGACACATGTGCTCAATTTGTATTTAATATTTTTCTAACAGGGCACATTTTCGGTTTTGCGACACGTGTTGGAGGCATGTCGGACGAGTATCGTGTCGGATACAAGTCGGACACTGCATGCCTTTTTGAGGAGAAGTGTCGGTGTATCATAGCCAAGAACAAATGGAGAATAAAATTCATGAAATCAACCCCAAATAAGTGGGATAAGACTAATAGGCTAATGCTATTTACTCGGTTTAATTAATTTAGTATTTTTTTTCTTTTTTCTTTGCAGTAGAGATCTTGATGATTGACAAACGCGTTGATCGTGATGAACTATAATAACATCTTTGGTTCTGTTGCATGTTTTGAAGTTTTTCGACATATGCTTATTAAGTAGTGTTCATATGCTATGTAAATTGTCTAATGCGTTCAATATTTAATCTTTATTTGATGAGAAGGCTAAAAATCCTCAACATAAAATTAAACCAAAGTCTTAAATTCATAAGTTTATTTATGAAGATAGTTATGCATAACTACTGGATCCTTGAGTGCTACTATTTCTTGCTTGAAGGCTATTCTATTCCTCAAGTTCTTCACCCAATCAATTCCACAGATGATACTAATGCATCATAGAAATTATGATTCTTAAGTTTAACATCGATTTTCTTTCCCTAAAGGATGCCGTCATTAGGAGAATCGAACTTAAGATTTCAACATGGACCTTTCTTCCTGAAGGTAACTCTGCAGCTTATGGAAGATATTTTTCTCTACATGTTTTTAAGAGTAGCTTTTCGTTAGCAGAAAATGGTGAGGGCATTCATGTTCTTCATTATGAGCGTGGACAGAAATATGAAACACATCCTGATTACTTCGTGGACAAATTCAATCAAGAAAATGGTGGAAATAGAATGGCCACAGTGCTGATGTATCTGTCAAATGTTAGGAAAGGAGGGGAGACAGTTTTCCCATATGCTGAGGTAAATAATCTGAAGTTGTACTCCTTGACTTGTGGTCTTTGACTCTGAAATATTTATCGAAGCTATTCTTAACATTTTCTGAAATATTTATTTGAGCTGTTCTCAACATTTTCAGGCAGCAAATACTCAACCAAAGGATGAAACCTACTCTGAGTGTGCAAGAAATGGTTTTGCAGGTAGCATGCAATGTAGTAACATGTTAAACATCAATGATTGGGCTTGATTAATTTGCAGATTCAAGGACTTGATAAATCTGAAGATATTATATAACCTTTTTTTGTTTCTAAGAGTCTAAGTGAATCTTTCTATGATATCAGCAAATTAAATTCTTGCTATTTAATGTGTTTTATTATCAGTGAATAGCCCCTTCCAAGTGTCTACACCATTAGGATTGCATGCATTGCCCTAAAGTATTATGTAAGTTAGCCTTGTAACTTTCTAAAATTATGGATCAATCCCTGGATTGAAAAAATGCTCAAGTTCTTGAGTTGATAAAGATTTAACCGTTAGTTTTTTAGTCTAAGCTTCGATCCCCTTTTTTTATATTCTCTCTGTTAAGTGGTATGAGAACTAATTTTGCCTAGGGTCAAGTATTTCATGCTTTTTGTGCTTCCTACGGTCTTCAATATTTTTTTTATCATGGTTGAGAAAGGGCATATGACCACATAGTAGAGTGGGCTTTTGATACTTGATTCTCGATAACATTGAAAGGCTTTTCTTTTGGTGGTGATGACAATATAAAGAGCTCTAATATTAGAGGTATATTAATTAAGACACATGAGAGCATTAGTTATGGTCTCACATTAGATAATTGGAAAGTATGTTGTAGAAAAAAATAAGTGATTACTCATAGCTTAAGCTTTTGTGTTGAGAATAATTTGACTGCTAGTATATCAGGCCTAACTCTCCTCCTTTAGCAACGCTCCCTAATATCATCCAAGGAAGAATAATAACCACCACTCTCCTTTTCCCTTTTTGTCCAAGTTTACTAAGTACCCGTTATCTTATGATGTCTTTAAAGAGAGAGAGAGAAAGAGAAAAGTGTAGTAAGAAGGGTTCATAGGGAGATCTATGAAGCCTTTATGCAATGGAAGCAAATCTCCTTGAAACATTTTAATTAGATGTATCTTTTTCAATTTGATGTAATGGCCCAATAAAAGATGTGAATATTTTGAATGTTCATTTTCAAAACCTTGTATTGATACAGTGGATGTTTGAAAATAAAGAAATCACTTCCTTAGCAAGCCCAAAGTTGATGGAGGAAGGTTAATACACCCTTGTTTTATTGTTATTGATCTCACTCTTCACTTTCTCTTTCTTGTGTTTACAGTGAAACCTAAAAAGGGTGATGCTTTGCTGTTCTTCAGCTACCACATCAATGCTACAGTAAATCCAAGAAGCGTGCATAGAAGCTGCCCTGTCATAGAAGGTGAGAAGTGGGCCGCGACAAGATGGATTCGTCTAAGATCCTTAGAAAATTCAAGGAGTAATATAATTCAGCAGTGACTGAGTGCTAAAATTTTTGCTGGCCCTTAATAGAGATGGAACAGGTATTATTTGAATCAAATTCTTTTGGAATGGTTTGAAAACAGATTTTGTTCAGTCCTCAATGCATATTTTGATGTTTTTTTATAACATGAGATTTAACATTTCGTTGATACTTATCTATGTGGTAATAAGAAGGAATAAAGTAAGATTGCCATCCTTGGAAAAAAAAAACTGGAGCAACAGGAGGAATAAAGAGAACTTTTTTTTAAAATGTTTTTTCCCACTTTTCTTCCTTTGTGTTATATTCCTGTTATTATTTAAAGGAAAAATGCCACCTTATGACAAGAAATATCTCAATCGCACGTCTTCTTTCTCCTCTTAGAATCCAAAGTACTCTCAAAGTGAGAAAGAAGTTGAAAGAGAAGGCAAGCAAGATATATTAAAGATGAACAAAAAGGTAAAGTGTGGGTTGATTAAAACACATTTAAAGGCTCTTTAATTTGTGGGAGTGTTTGCTTTTACTTTGAAGGAGATGCGCACCAAGTACCGAAGAAGACATAACAAGACAGACAAGTATTAAACTGACAGCACTATGGTTACTTATCTCGATTTTCTCTTAGAGTTCTTCTTCAGTCTCCAGTTATTACAAGGCTAAATCAACAACTAAAGTTTCATTTCTCTCTCTTTCTCTCTCTGTGCTTTATTTCTTTCAAGCTCAAACTGAAAGTAGATACTCTACTAAAGTGACTGTAAAAGCTCAATCCATCTTTGTCAAGAATCTTCAATGTGTTTTTGTGTGAAAGAAGCTTAAGTTAACCATCTGTTAGAGTGTATAAAGACTTCCCAATTGGCAATTCATGCTTCCAAATCCAAGATAATTTGGCAACCATGAGGGCCAATGTCCTTCATCATCATCATTACTGTTGCCGCTGCTGCCATTATGCCTGTCCAGGCAACCTCCCTGACTTTCCAGCTCTCCTGTCAACATTCGACAATCATACTATATCAGGAATCACCAGAGTTAGTAGTCGGCAAAGTAAAAAAATAATAGAAAATTCAGGTTAGCCTTACTAAGCATCAGTACAAGGTGTATGATTAATCTCTCTCTCTCTCTCTCTCTCTTTCTCTCTCTCTCTCTCTATATATATATATATAAAATTGGGTCCCACATAATCTCATCTAATTAGCATTTTACATTGTTGCTTCTTTGATTTTAAGAAATCTCTATGGTTTCTCATGGTCTTGGAATATGTAAATGGTGACTAAAGTGAGAAGACCATCTCTCCTCCTCTTTATTTTTGAACCATAAAGCTAACAGGGCAAGCCCCAGGAATCTCCTTGGTGATAGAGCTCTTTTCTTACCATACATCTTCATGAAATATAAATATACTAGAAAATCAAAAGCTTTCCTACAAAACAAATATGCAAACTGAACAATTCTTGAATAGTCTTGCTACTCTATTTGAATTCAAACTGTTTGGAATATAACACACAGGAAAAAATATAGTAATATACACATGGCTATGTAGCAAATATAAAAATTTAGGTGTTAAATATATATATTTTTAATAGTTTTAGGTGTTATGTATGTAAAAATTCCAATAATAATAGTATAGTTGCATGAACCACTAGGAAGTGATGATCAAAATGAATATCAATCAGTACCTGTTATGAATGGGATCAGGACCTTTCGGCACTTTCCTCTTGCTGGCATAGATAAGGTCCATGGCGAGGCGAGCATTGTGCTGTCCACTACTCGACTCCACCGGAGGACTTTCAAGTCTCACCGGAGAACTCCGTGGTGGCGGGACCACCATCAAGCTGCCACCGTCGGCAGAGAAGGAAAGGAGGAGCCCAATGCAAAGTAGGAATACCATAGCTTGAAGCAGAAGCATTAGGTGATTAACATAACCAAGCTTTTCATCTCTCATCTCCATATTACTCTCGGTAACTGTTTTTATCTCTTCTGCAAATATTGAACTTCTTCCTTCTCTGTCTTTTCTTTCTCTGCTTCTCTCCCCCCTTAAAGCAGAAGATAAAGGAATGTGGAGTAGGAGGAGGGGGGCATTAGTGTTGCTTATATTTATATAGAGATATATATTTATAAACATGTATGAAGATATAAAGTGTATGATCAGGTACTGTAAGAGGATATAAAATTGGATTAGCGAGCTGGTTACTTTGTTCTCTTCCTTTGTATGTTCTGTTGCTTATTTTTTTTTCCTTTCTTTGAAGTGTTGGAAACCATTTTGTTGGGCTTTAGTAGGACCCTGGTGAGAAGGTGAACAAGGAAAGGAGGCTTCGAACACGATATATCATTTGTAAATCCCCTGCTTTTTGAAACCGGTTGGACCCACCCGATCAGACCTACGATTTTTATTTTATTTTATTTTTTGTTAGGTATTTTCATGCAATTCTCAGTTAGCAATTAGCCTATAATGTTAGGAGATGATTTTTTATTATTTTTTAAAGCAGTTTTTTTATATAAAAATTAAAATTTTTATACAAAAAAATTGATTTAAGAAACAGTAAAAAAATAATATCAAACGAAGCCTTAGTCATATAGAGAGTGCCGAAGCAAAAGCAGAAAAAAGAAAAAAAAAATCAGAGGTCTTATGAAATAGTTTAGTTGTTTTATATTTCCTTTGATATGTATTTGTTTTATATTTTTCATACATATTTATATGAGAAATTTGTTTGAGATAGATTTTTTATTACTTTTCAAAGTAATTTTTTTAGTAAATCATTACTTTAGCGTCCCAAATAAAGCCTAAGAGAATCACCAAAATTGGTTGCCCTGACTCCGACACCAATGTAGAGCGTTCACGTTTGGTACGGAGTCCGCAATGGACTTTGAAGCTTCCTTCATAACTGGCTTTAAAGTGGTCAAGTCATGAGATTTTTTTTTTTTTTTTTTTTTTTTTTAATAAACCAAAACCTTCATTAATCAAAATAATACCGTTACACCAGCGGAAAAAGAAATAAGCTAAAAAAAATAAAAAACAAAGATTTACAGGCACAAGAAGGACTCAGTTAACGGCCGAGGCTTTCAGCGACCCTAAAGCCTAGCACGGACCGTCCAATAAGAGGTTGCCACCAGCAAAACGACAGGGCCGCGAGCACCGACCACATCATTGCCCATTTCCAATTGAAACAACGATTCCGTCATCCAGTAAAGCATAAAAATCCAGATGAAAGAAAAAGGAGAAAAAGCCAACAAAACATGAAAAATCAACGTCTACGACGGCCTCTCCCCCAAAATTTCCCCCTATTTGGAACATTGATAAACGGTTTTACACAAATCACCGAGAAATCATTGCCAGGGTCCGAGTCCCCACATCTATCCAGAGAATCCATTCCATCTTCAGAAGATCCGAATCTGAATCACCCTCTGCTTCACCATTTAACCAATTAAGTTGATCCCTAACCTCCACAGCTGAACAATCACCCAAACAGATATCCATAGCTTGTGAATTGACCAACTTCACAGGAACCTCAACTAGCCTGTTAACAATCGGACAAACCTCCTCCTCTCTGACATCCAATGAAGGAGGCTCCGTCCCAGCTTTAATCGGGCCCAAACCAACAGACAAATTAGCAGCAGTACCACCCGCAGAATCAATAAGATTCTCAGTAGAGATAGGCGCCAATAAAACATTGCTGACACGATTTAAAGCAATAGGAAGAAAAGGTGTAGCATTAGGAGATAAAACACCCGAAACAGCCTCAGAATTGATTCCTCTAACACCTATCTCCCCAATCTCAACCATAGAAGAGTCGGGTTCATCTAAAACACCCTGCACTAAAGTAATTGGACCCGATTCAACAAAAGTAGTGGGCTTTTCTAAAGTTATAGGAACAACAGAATGTTTCAAATCAGAATTAATAGTAAGGCAATCAACCACAACAACCTCACCAAGCACAACCCCATCATTCTCCAACGGCAAAGAAGAAACAGAATGAATAGTTTCTAGAACACCCCCCGTTTCAGCATTAACTAAAATTAAATTGTCAACACCAGACGACACCAAATTGACATCCCGAGCAGCAGAAGCAATACCCCCCCCCCCCCCCCCCCC